TTTTTGCTAAGGTATCTATATGAGCAGACCATTTTAGAGAATTGTCTATATAAAGACCTAAAAACTTGATTGAAGTCACCGTTTGGATCAGATTATTGTTTAGAGTTAGGGGTTGTAAAGTACCTCTGTAAGACAATGCTACAGTTTTACTGGTGTTGAAACAAAGTCCATTCGAATCAGACCCGGACTTAATAGTCACTAGATCTTCACTTATGATAGATTGTAATGTCTGCATGTTAGAATTATTCCAGGTTACACTGGTGTCATCAGCAAATAAAGTAATTCTACCACTTATTCTTAAGTCTGTGATGTCGTTGATGAATAATAAAAACAAAATTGGACCTAATACTGATCCTTGAGGTACTCCACTGCTTATTGCTAGATTTGTAGAATCCTCACCATTCGCCCGCACCTGTTGATTTCTATTTTCTAGGTAAGTTTTAAACCATTGTAAAGGAGAACCCCGTATGCCATAAATTTGTAACTTATTAATTAAAATATCATGATTTACACAATCGAAGGCCTTTGCGAAGTCACAAAATACTGAAGCGGTGAAAAGTTTATCATTAAGTGAAGTGTATATTTCATTAAGAACGGAAAACATTGCGTCGCTAGTGCATTTTTTAGGTAGAAAGCCATACTGATGAGCTGTGAGGATGTTATGCTTGAAAAGAAAGGGCAAAAGACGGTTTTTCATTAGCCGTTCTACTATCTTCGATAAGGTAGGCAATAACGCGATAGGTCTATAGTTACAGGTTTTGGTTTTGTCGCCACCTTTATGAAGTGGGATTATTATAGCTGTTTTTAGACAGTTAGGAAAGAGACCAATTTCAAAGGATTCATTAATCAGTGAAGTTAAAATGTTGATTACTACATCCGGTATATTTAGAAATATTTTGGTGGACAGGCCATCAATTCCACAGGAAAATTTATTTTGGATGTTGTTTATGGTTTGCACTAGTTCATGCTTATCTACTGGTCTTAGGAAGAAACTTTCAGTGATCCTTTTAGTAGGTAGGAGGAAGGAGAGAGCATCCTGACTCGGAGCTATGTTAGATTTGATATTTTTACTTACATTTACGAAATAATTGTTTAGTTCATCTGGGCTAGGATTTACACTGTTTGAAAAACGGGTTTTATTCCTTAAGTCATTTATTATAGACCAGGTTTCTTTGGAGGAGTTTTTAGCTCTTGCGATGCGATTTTTGTAATAGTTTTTCTTAGCAGATTTGATGATTTTCCGATACAATATTCTGTAGTTGTTGATATAGTTTAATATTAGGGCATTATCTGTGTACTTTTTAATATACATGAGTGACCTCATATTTTTAGATGATGTTCTTATTCCTTTAGTTGTCCAAGATTTATGACATTTAGTTTTAATGGGGCGAAGTTAGAAAGCTGTATTGAAACACATAATTATTTTATTTAAGAAGTCTAAAAATTTAGAGTCAATATCTTCAGAAAGACCATTCCAATCAGTAGTTAGACATAAATTATAGAAATTTTTGAAATTATGCTTAGAGAAAATTCTACCTAGCTGACGGACCTTTTTTGGAGCTGTACGGGGTATCAAAAATTTGGCAAATACTGCTTCGTGGTCTGAGAGATCTGAACTAATTACTTGGTGCTCTACATCAACGGGTTTAAAATCAGAGACTACGTAATCTATAATTGTAGATGTTGTTTCTGTGATTCTAGTTGGAGAATTTACGTGCATAGTGAGACTGAATGATTCAAAAATATTGATCAAAGACTTTTGAGTAGCACATACATTAGCAAAATCAATATTAAAATCGCCGCATAAAATTTTCTTACTTTTTATAGGCAATGCGTCAAGTAGATTAAGAAGATTCTCTAGAAAGAGGTGAACATTTGATTTAGGTGTTCTATAAATACAAATAATAAACAAATCAATGTTTTTGTTGTTTACAATGGAAAATTCGAAGAAATTTTCAGCTTGTAGAAAGTCGTATTTAGATACAGCAGAAAAGTCCTTGTCTAAGAATAAAATTAGAGTTCCACCATGGTCTGTATTACTTCTATCATATCTGCTGACGATAGTATATTTTTCGACAAAAACTGGTTCACCAACTTGTAACCAGTGTTCTGTAATAGCAACTATTTGGGGAAACCCTAACTCTTCCAAAAACAAATACAATTCATCAGTCTTATTCCGTATTGATCGAATATTAATTAGAACCATTCTTAATTTACTGTCGGCATAGCCAGTAAGACTAGTTGGGGATTCTAGTTCCCCAGGACACGTCGTATTAATTAAAAATTTTTCCTAGGTGAATCGGCAGTAAAATAACGATGATTGTACTCCCTTTGCTTCTGCAGGTGTATTCTTCGTTCCGCGGATATATATGCTCTGTAGGTAGAGAGATCGTTATCCACTTCAGCTGAGCCAATACCATATAGATCATGATAATCATAATAAATGGTCCGTAAAGCTCCAGGATCAACAGGCAGTCCCTCAGAGGCTAGAAACACTTTGACACTTGTGTTCGTGTAGCCTTCATGACAGACAGATGATGGTTGGTCATGAAGATAGGCGAGGAAGAGCTTGAGGGACGATAAAATAGCCGGTTCTCTTAGTCTAGCCATCAAATAACGACCATTGCCGATACACGATTTTTTTGTTAGTCGGACTCTAGGAGGAGTCAACGGGTCCAGCGAGTTATTTGTGTTGTCTTGTGATTCTGCTATGATCTGTAAGGACTTGCATCTGTAAGTCCGCCATATTTGCAGATCTGCAAAGTTGCCGCCATATTTGCAAAGTTGCAGACGTTCTGTAATCTCTTTCTGAAAATTCTATTCATCTCATTCATTCATATTTGTCTAACCGTGTCAAAAAGTACTTTTAAATAATGAATTTTCTTCATTACAAAACGTAAAGTCTGGTGTGCCACAGGGCTCAATATTAGGACCAATGCTTTTTATTTTATATACCAGTGATATCTTGACATCTGTTCGCAACTGTAAAATACAAGCGTATGCCGATGACACCCAACTTTATTACATTGATAGTAATAATTATCAAGTTGCTGAAGAAGCATTAAATGAAGATTTGATCTTATTCATAAATTGTCAATTAAACATAATCATAAGATCAATAAAAATAAATATCATCTAATCCTATTTGGAAACAAAAAACAACGGAATTACCTTAGTCAAAGTCTTTCCATAAAAATTGATCAACTAACTTTACCTATAGTGGATTCCAAAAAGAATCTAAGCATTCTGTTTGACTCTGATCTCAATTTCCACTCGCATGTAAACAACCTTTTAAAAAAAAATCATTTTCGACTTTAAAAAGTTATATTTTGTAAGGCACTTAGGTGCGCTGAGTTCTTACGTAATCAGCTTAAAAATGGTATGGAGATGCCTAGAACAATTGAATGAGCTAGGCGAGAAAAATAAAGTTACTCTCACTTGGGTCCCGGGACATAACGGGGTACAGGGTAACGAGATTGCAGATAGTCTTGCAAGGAAAGGGGCTCAAACACCCTTTGTAGGACCTGAGCCGTTCTGCGGTATCAGCAGTAACATAATATTAGAAGAGATTAAAAAAGAATTGGGTAGTAGAAGAACCGATAATTGGAACAATCTCTTGGGACTGAGACAGGCCAAGATACTTCTGGGTGAATATAACCAAAAAAGATCGGAAGCCTGCATCTGCCTGAGCAAGAACAGGCTACGTATTGTAACAGGGATTCTTACCGGGCACTGCCGACTAAAAGGACACCTAAGTAAACTGAGAGTAGTAGAGGATAGTGAGTGCAGATTCTGTTAGGAGGAGGACGAAACCTCCATTCACATCCTAACTGAATGTGTAGCACTCCAGAATCCAAGGGCACTATATCTAGGAGGATATCAAATAGAAGAGGGAGACTTACCTAACTTGAAGCCACTTCAAATCCTACACTTCCTTGAGAAAATAGGATTGGAAGGGTCGCTATAGGCATTGAGACATTTCCTTAGTGCAGTGGCGACAGAAGGGGGCACAATAGATCTTTTAGGTCGCAGTGTATTAATACCCCATTATCAACATAACATAAGGCACTTAGGTGAAAAAAATGTTATCAGAGTCCTTAGTATTGTCTATTTTCTCATTTGGTGATGATGTCTTTGGAAATTTTATTGATTCTTATACACAAAACTGCATACAAAAAGTACAAAATTAATGTGCTAGATTTATTTATGGACTTCGAAAATATGATCGAATATCTCATAAAATTTATGAACTTAAATGGTTAAAAATGAAAAATAAACGTCAATATAATTTTATTAATTTCTTGAATAATGTCATAAAAGCAAATAAACCAATAACTCTTTTGGATAAGTTAGTTGTGATATCAGCACTGCACCCTCTAAATGTCCGCTCTAGAAATCTTTTTTACATTCCTCATCACAATTCAGCCATGTTTCACAAATCATTTACCTATCAATCTGTTAAAATTTATAATGAATACTTAATGAAGCAAATACATCATCCACAACATATTTTCAAAAAAAAAAAAAAATTAAAGAATAATCTACTGTCACAGCAATTTTAATTCTTTAAACTTTACTTTTCAACTATTTTTAAATTAATCCATTGTATTATATTTCATGTTTCTACTATTTTTTTTTTATTTCATATCTAGTTTTATATTTCGAGTTTTTTTATTATTATTTAAAAATTTAATTAATGATAAAATCAGTTAAAATCTTATTTTCTTTATTATTTTATTAAAAGCATTATTATTGTAGGAATAGCTTGTAGCTAAACTGCGCCTCTTTGTACAATTTATTAATAAAGACGATTTATTATTATTATATTTATTTTAATCAATAAAAATTGTTTTTGAAAACCTGGTATCAGTTTCAAAATACTTATTTCGCCTCAATTTACCTCTTGATTCCCCAAAATTCTTACAATATTGCTAAATTTGTACTTTAATATTTTAATCTTAAAGAAATTTTATTTATGTACCTTTCTTATATATTTTTAGCTGTGTGGTGGAGGACCAAGATTGTCTTTATGGCACTACCGATTTCTTACTTATTCTACCGTATTTCCCATGGACGATAAGGGTATTCACGTAGCAGAAATTTATAAAGAAAAGATTTTGGCTGGTGGAAGATCGCGGCTTTTTTACCAAATGTCATTTATTGGTGATGTTATTTCGGAAATTCCTGTTTCAGCAGCAACTATTTACAGTATCGTACACCAAGAGGAACCACATAATGTATCGTGTTTAGCAGGGTCTAGTCCGAAAGTAGACGTTTGTTCTAGTTTTATGTATAAAAATCAGCAATTGTCTTTATATTAAGATTTGTTAAATAAATATTTTCAATATTTTATAATCTTACTTTATTTATAATCTATGAACTCTAACAACTAAATGTTAGGACAAACAAATATTATTTACACATTTATTAAATTAAAGAACTACATTAGCAATGTATACCAATAATTGTTTATAATAAATATTTAAATGGTATTCTTTCTAAACACATTGAAATACACTGTGGGCGAATAAATAAACATAAAATATTCTTAGGCTAAGTCGACAATTGTGGACTCACTTAGGCACTGTCGTGAGAGTAGAAGGGTCAAATAAAGACAAAGTTCGAGCAATCACAGCCAATCGAGCCATCACAGCCCAATGTAATGCAGAAACAGGAAAGAGGGTGCTGTTAAAATTAGATAATCAAATCGGTACTTAATTTTTATAAGTTTTTATTAAAATAATGATTTTTTATTATTTGTAATGTTTTATTCGATAGAAAATTTGCGAACAAACAAGCAAAAAACATAAATCGTTCAATCGAAAATGTCAACGATCGTTGAAGTCTGGTACAGTCCCATTTAGTGACCAAATGAAGTTTGAAGCGTGAGCGGGAGACTTTCGTAAACGAATTATTCGAACTAAAAAATCTGATGTGTCCAACACATGACTTTCCTATCTAGTTATTATAGGCTTTTTCCGGTTATTTTGTACAACCTATCGCAGCATCTCTATAAATGTTCAGAGGATAAACTAAATATATACATTGTCCACATATATCTACCTCGAAACATTTTTACTTTCCTATCTGTATACAGATATAAGGAAAGTATAGGAATCATGATTTTTTTCGACCTCGAGTTTTCGACGGATTTTTACGTTTTGAGGTCCCCTGAATCCGTTTTGACTATTTTCGCGATGATGTCTGTGTGTGTGTGTGTGTGTCTGTATAACGCATAACTCATGAACCGATACACGGAAAAACACCAAATTTCAAACTTAAGCTTTATTCCAGCGTCTAATGAGCTGATTAGATTTTGGGTAGAGTCGGAACATCTGGGGGGGTACTTTATGGGTGGTCATTTTTATATTTTATGGAATATATCTGTTATTTACGTTTGGGGAAGAAAATTTTTTAAATAAAAGTTACTTCTTATTTTATTATCTATAATTTTTGTCATTTACAAAATTTTCCTAAAATGGTCCGTATTCGAGAAATTTGACAAAATGTAAAAAAATATTTTTTTTTATAAAAATTGTTCAAACAAAAGTTGTTTGTAATATAATTCTCTATAATTTTTGTCCCTTAGATAATTTCTCTAAAATGGACCGTATTCGAGATATTTGAGAAAATGGGTAAATTTCGAAATTTGAAGAAAACTCAAAAACGGATAAAGAAAAAATTAATAAATTTTAAACTTAAGTTTTATTTCGGCCTGACGTGAAATGATTAGATTTTGGACAAAGTCGGAACATCTGGGGGGGTACTTTATGGGAAGCCGTTTATATATTTTATGGAATATATCTGTTATTTATGTTTGGAGAAGAAAATTGTTCA